TACATTTCATATTAATATTTGGAAAAGCCTTGTAAAGTACTGCCCGGTTCTGTTAGCTGTAAATCAGTTACTGCCAAAATATCTCTGAATGAGTGATATAGCTGTAGCAACAGTGTAAATGCACTGGAGAGGTGAACATTTTGAAAATGTGCACAGAAGGTATTGTCACAGAGCCTAAAAATGAATGACATTATTTGTTCTTTCATTTTTCCCTTCCCCTCAGCTGTCTGCAGTGTGACACTTTATACAATGTGCTTTTCAAAGATCTGAGATACTGTAAACGTGAAATAAAATATGCTCATTGAACACTGAATGTCATTACTCATTTCAGGAGAGTTAGGGCTCTCACAACATGTGAATGTATTGAAACTGTGAAGCTGAATTGCTGTTTTTTATAAGGTGTCCTACGTAAATGTAATGATGGAAGATCATCATGTTCATCATCTGTATCGTTAAAACATGCTACTGGAAAAATCTTGTAGAAACATTCACCTGTTGACCAGCTATGTTCATCACTCATCTCAGACCATGGACCATTTCTGTATGGTTGGCAAACTACTGAAAATAGGCAGAGTGCTGGCACTAAAGCTGTAGATTTGATAGCATCTGGAGATTTCCATATCCGCATGGAAAACTCTGAAATAGATGATAAAGGTTCATTTAGGACATTTTGTGTTGCAGGAGCATTAAAGGGCCTCAAAAGAAGTAAAGGTCTTATCCTCCTCAGGCAGACTCTAAAATACGGTCCTGAGTAAATCAAGCCAATGCATAACTATGTCATAAAACACAGAAGGGAAATGAGATGTATTACATGCATTGTCACTCAATGATTTCGACAATTTCTATAGCTGTGAAAAGAGCATCCCTGGGTGTGCAGCTTAGTGAGGAAATTTCAGCTATTTCCAATATTTTTTCTTTTTGTTCTGCTATTTTTCAGTTTTGTTCTTGGGTTAGTGAGGGAAGAAGAATATTCTCCAACTTTATGAACGTTGTCCTGCTCACTAATTTCCACAAGCTCCTTCCATAGTTGATGGAGAAAAGAAGAGAGAGACACTTGCTAAAGGGCTTTATATCTGAAGGGCATCTCCAGAGCTGTTCAGTTCTTTGTTCAAGAGTGTGTAGGAGAAAAAAAAAGAAAAAGAAATGTTTTTTCTGGCAAAGATTTCATTGTACTTGAACAACATAGGGCCAAGATTACCATGTTTCAAATCTTCCACCCTGCTTCCTTTATAGTGAACATAGAATTATCACTGCTTTCAGCAGGAACAGATTTTCTGTCCTTCCTGCTTCAGTGAGGTAGCCCCCCTTCCTCCAAAAAAATCAAGCAATTTTACTATCTATGCAATTAAGAAGAGGTCTTCCGAAAAATGGAAAGGCCTGACTGTTTGAGATGAAATAAAATGTCACTGAGCTTCAGAAATATTCTACTTTTTTGGCCTTAGAGTGCCAAGTCAAAATGTCAAGTTCACAAATCAGTAATTTTTTCTGCGTTCATATTTGGATTTTTAGGTATCTGAATAGAGTAGAAAAATGGCAATGTCATTCACAGTAATCACCACCATCTTACAACTACTCTAATAATAGTATGAAATAGTGTAGAGTTGAGATTTATGAGAATATCATAAAGACAATTTCACTAGATATCACAAACACTACAGACTACATCTCTTATTCTGTAATTATTCTGTCATCTGCCAATGGTGCAAAATTACTGCAAGATATGAAGAGACCTGAAGCAAAATAAGTCAACAATACATACTATATGAAAGTTTTTAATGAGATTACTATTCACTTATGCTTCATACTGTACCCCTGATTTTTCAGCATAAGTCCACATAGAAATTAACATGAAAGCTGGAAGTACAATCTGACTTTGATATTTAAATTACACTAGCAAGTGAGCATGTCTGAGAGCTTTAGAAAATTCTTTTCAATATAATTGTCACCTGAAGCTCTATAGAATAAAGGAAGGGAATAAAGATCAGAATAGGGGTAGTTAAATTAAGCAAAAAAATAACAATTACTATCTTACAAAGGAGTAAGAATGATAAATCCTTATTAAGAAGGGTACAAAAAATTCTAAATCTGGCAAAATAGAATCATAGAATCATAGAATGGTTTGGGTTGGAAGGGACCTTAAAGATCATCTAGTTCCAAGCCCCTGCCATGCGCCGGGGCACCTTCACTAGACCAGGTTGCTCAAACCCCCATCCAACCTGGCCTTGAACACTTCCAGGGATGGGGCATCCACAACTTCTCTGGGCAACCTGCTCCAGTGCCTCACTACCCTCACAGTGAAGAACTTCTTCCTTACCTCTAATCTAAATCTACCCTCCTTCAGTTTAAAACCATTACCCCTTGTTCTATTACTACATGCCCTTGTAAAAAGTCCTTCTCTGGCTTTCTTGTAGGCTCCCTTTAGGTATTGGAAGGCTGCTATAAGGTGTCCCTGGAGCCTTCTCTTCTCCAGGCTAAAAAAACCTCAACTATCTCAGCCTATCCTCATAGGGGAAGTGCTCCAACCCGCTGATCATCTTCGTGGCCCTCCTCTGGACTCGCTCCAACAGGTCCATGTCCTTCTTATGTTGGAGGCCCCAGAGCTGAACACAGTACTGCAGGTGGGGTCTCACAAGAGTCGAGTAGAGGGGCAGAATCACCTCCCTCGAACTGCTGGTCACGCTTCTTTTGATGCAGCCCAGGATACAGTTGGCTTTCTGGGCTGCAAAGGCACATTGCTGGGTCATGTTGAACTTCTTGTCAACCAACACCCCCAAGTCCTTCTCCAGAGGGCTGCTCTCAATCCACTTATCACCCAGCCTGTATTTGTGCTTGGGATTGCCTCAACCCACGTACAGGACCTTGCACTTGGCCTTGTTGAACTTCATGAGGTTCACATGGGCCCACCTCTCAAGCCTGTCAAGGTCCCTCTGGAGTGTGTCAACTGCACCACACAGCTTAGTGTTGTCAGAAAATTTGCTGAGGATATCATCAATGCACTTCAGGAACCTTCTGGACTGCTTATGCCCTGCTGTGTTGTCCCTCCAACAGATATCGGGGTGGTTGCAGTTCCCCATAAGGATCGGGGCTTGTGAACGTGAGGTTGCTCCTATCTGTCTATAGAGGGCCTCATCCACTCAGTCTTCCTGGTTGAGTGGCCTGTAGCAGACCCCCACTATAATGTCACCTGTCCCTGCTCTCCCTTTAATCCTGACTCATAAACTCTCGGTCAGCTCTTCATCCATCCCCAGGCAGAGGTCCATGCACTTCAGCTGGTCACTGACGTAGAGGAGGACACTCCCTCCTCACCTCCCCTGCCTGTCCTTCCTAAAGAGCCTGTATCCTTCCATTCCAACGCTCCAGTCATAGGAGCCATCCCATCACGTCTCTGTGATGCCAATAAGATCATAGCCCTGCAGGGATGTGCACATCTAACTCCTCCTGTTTAGTACCCATGCTACATGTGTTTGCATAGAAGCATTTAAGTTGGGCCCTGATGAAGCTGACTTACTGGCTGGAGGGCCTGGAATTCCTTTGTGCTGCTCTTCAGGTGCTCTCCTGCTGACCTGTGATCCCTCTGCAGGCTTTGAGCATCTATTGCTGGCACTGGCATCAAACTGGTAGGAGTGGGATGGATCGAGGTTCACCTCCCCTGGCCCTTTAGCTTAAAGGACCCCAAAAGGTACTGTAATACTTGCAGATGTGGCTGGGTTTAGCTCCTGAGGAATACTGTCATTTCTTCAGTCCCCTGTATTTCTCTCGCAACTAGTAATACCAAAAAAATGCTGTTCATGTTGGATGGTAAAAGGGATTTTCTTTTAAAACATTTATGCCTACTGGTGTTTGAATTTCTGTGTTGATATGAAGACACTAATTGAATATCATGCATGTATTTAACAGCATTTGAATACTGATGTTGCTGAGGACCAGTTCCAATAATTTAAATTTTAGCCTATTTGACCTTCTGAAATATACTGCAGCTGGATCAGGAAAGTTAGGAGCCTGAGTTTTCTTATTCAGCCAATAGGTAAGCAATTCACTGCACTGAAATTAGACTACCTGAAAATTAATTTGAAGATGCAGTCAAAAGTGCTCTATAAAAGCAAGACGAGTGCTGGAAGGTCAAAATCCTATGTCTTTATTATGAAATAACCAAAAGGTTATAAAAATGCCAGGTCCCAACAAGAAAGGGAACAGATGCAGGTAAAAAGGAATTAAGGAGATGTGTGGAGCTAAAAGATTCGGAACTCATGACAGCTGACTCTGGGAAAGTGAGAAGGTATCTAAATTGCTGCAGGGACTCCTGAAAGTGGAGCAGGGCATTTAAGAATGTCACTTTATGTATATAAACCATTTCAGTAGACTTACCCACATGATTCATTCCAATTATTATTCTAGAATATACATTATAAGTGCATGTCTATCTGTGTATGCTGTTCATTTTCTACACTGTTCTACAATTGCTTCTTAGTGATTACTGTGTATGAGAGTATAAATTCACCTCTTGGCATGTTTAAAGTGGAAGAAAGGAATCTGAAAGAAAAGAAATGATAAAATGTCCTTTTGCTTGCATAACTCAGGTGTTCAGCTAATATTTATTTATATTTTCCTATTTCCACACTGGTTCTTAATGCAGTCAAGAAGTCTTGCTCATATCCAGACTTTAAAGGCAAGCATTAGTGTAGCCAGCTCCATGAGATCTCTGAGAGCCATTGCTATTTTCCCCTACTAAGGAGAAAAGGTACAAAGAGTTTCAAGGAATGGCTGTTACTTAGAGTCCACATGAAGCTTATGGAATTTCTTTTCTTTGATATGGACACTGGTTATTCCAGAGAAAGCTGTGTTTAGGTAAGCTAGTGGATTAAAGCCAT